TAGATTTGTGAATTAAATTCATTATTATTTTTGAAACATTAAATGGGGCTTTTAAATGCTATATTATTCCATAATTGAATTTTATTGTCTGAATTTTCTCATGAATCTTTGTAGAGATGTTGTCGATGACGGAAAAGAAAAGCTAAGAAATAAAATGTACATTAGTTATTTTTAGTTATACTGTAACCTATATTACTAAGGACTGGGTAGAGTCGAGCTGGTCGACGGGATACAGGGAGATTTCTCAGGCCCCAAAAGACCGACATTTTCAGCGATATCCCGTGGACGACTGGACCGAACGTCCCATCCTAGAACTGTGTCACTCTTGGGCTTGATTGTTTAAAAAATGCCGTTGGGAATTCACCATCTCATTTGTATTATTGGTGAATCATAACATCATTACTGTATTTTTCCAGGACGATCAATTATAATTTGGGACACCGTGGTGAAATGTTTGAGGAAAAATGGATAAATTAACATTGACTTCCAGATGCTTCAGACACCGTGTGGATATTAGAATTGACAGTTCTGACAGTGAGAAGAAAGAATGTTCAGTTTGGCTTTTGCTGCAATTAGTTACAGCAATTGATCTAAGCATCGTAGTAACTTTTTTGTTTTAATATTTGATACCATGTCATTAAGGCTTCTTTTCTTACAAAATAAAGAACGTGTTTGGGTATTGCATATAACATATTGGTAATTTGTTGGAAGTTTTGTCTAGCATGACAACTTTTTGTAAAAGCTTCCAATATCTCTTTTCCTAATAAAAAAGCATCAACGATTTGACATATTTATATCCTGCTCTTTATCTATTATATATGTTTAAAGAATAAGGCTTAAATCACATACACGCACACACGCACACACACACACGCACCAAACTAACCTGAGCAACTAAAAGAATAAGGATAAAAATATTTCCTTAAATTCACTAAGATTGTTCTTTAGATGTTGAATCTAAAAGTGAATAGCAATGGACAAGAGATAATACTGCAGGGCTTATGATCAGGTCACTTGGGTCTTAAATATATTCGCTCAAATCTGGTAGATAAAAAAATAGTAGATTGAAGATGTAGCAATATATATATATATATATATATATATATATATATATATATATATATATATATATATATATATATATATATATATATATATATATATATATATTTTGAAAGCAGTAATTTGTGTTACTATGGAATAATTTCAAGGCATTCAAAAAAGGAATTATCCCAAATTTCGTTTGCCAGACGATAAATTCAATGGCTTGCCAGTCCTGCTTCAAACCACCTGCTGAGTGGTAAACTGTTCATTTTAGCTGTGCTGATATTTACAATGAGAATATTCAGTGGCTGAGAACTCACATATTTACATGTCATTGTACGAGTACCTTTAAAAAAACATGACCAAACAGATTGGCGGCAAATTCAAATGCTTTAACTAGCTGCTGAATTGTGGGGAAAATGTAATGATATTTACAACGACTTGATGGAAATTTAATTATCATATTCTTGAGGCTAATTAAATAAGTTGTAAAGATAAAAATAAACATTTAATGGAATGTTGGCTCTTGATTTTCATGGATTCTGTAATATGCACATACTTGTTTGATGTTGTGTACCTTTCTATTAATTTGGAAGTGTTTATATTCCTATATCCCTTTGTGCAACTCTTTATTCTTACATTATTAGAACATCATGTTTTTAATTGGCAGCATTTAGTCATTACTGTTATGATATTATCCATATGAACATACAAACCTTATTGATATATACACAGATCATTAAGTTAATTTTATCAGAATGTGGTACAAAATCAGTAAGGGACCAACCATTTGTTGATCCAGGGTATGGGTGGTGGGTAAGGAAAGAATAAGAGTTTTACGAAGAAAACAAAAATAATATTCTTAAGAATCATTTTGGTTGGAACAAAATGAATATTCGGTGATAAAAGAAAAAAAAATATTCCTGGTTGGAAAGTAAATCTCATTTTCTCCCCATTAAATTAAATTGAGGGAATAACGATGGAGAAAAAAACATTTTATCTTGTTAGGCATATGAGACAAAACAAAAGAAACAATTCTGCAGATGGAAGCAAATTAAGGGTAGATGAATCAGCAGTTGGAGGGGTAGGATGCCACTTTATTTCTTTATAATCCTATCCTGTAACTTGATCTACATACAACTTGAAGTTCATGATGATATAAAATTACCATTTAATTTTTGTCTTACTTTATGGTGTCATTGGGTCAATATATCAATGAATACGCCCTCAAACATGTACATGTGCAAGGGCATGGTGTCACAAGTCTGACTGGAGTTGTTCATAAAATATTGCAATTTATTGCAGACATACTTGTCCAGAATGTATAAGTACTCATATTGATTTCTTTTACACATTGGTATTTCACATTGTTCTTGAGTTATTATCGATTGAAGGGGTCTTTAGGTTGTCAGTACAGAATATTTCCATATCAAATCTAATGTTTAACAACTTGTAAATCCATATGAATAAAACAACCACCCATTTGTAGCCATTTTGATTTGCTGGGGTCAATTGGTAGACAATCAGGTGATCCATCATATAGAAATTAGATGCAACTTTTCTCATTTTAAAATGGCTGTTTGGTCATGTGATTAGCATAATGCAATTTTTGTGATGATTACATGGTTAATAAGTTAATCATCATGTAAATCATATCACATTTCACCATAGTGTTTAATATCGAAATGGATACAGTAATTTGATGTGTTGTTGAACTGTCAGTCATCCATCTACAAACCAAGATTAACCTCAGTATTAAAGGCTTTCTTTCTTTTATTAAAGTTTGGACTCAGGACTAACATGAAGGTCTTGGACAGCTTCTTGTCTACTTAATAGTTTCAACACAGCAGGAAAGTTTGTCTTGGACACAAAATAAGTAAGCTGTAAAAAGTGTTGAAGAATCAAGCTCTTGTTTGAAGAATCATTGCAGGAAGATGACAGATTTGTACCACCAAGAATTTGAATATCTTGTGATGGACAGACAGTATTCTGGTTGGTACTGACAATTTAGAAGTAAGTACAAGTTGCTAAAAGTATTAGACATTGCCTTACAACTAAAAAGTTTGCTTCTTTGCTCTGAATAATTTATAATCATTAGTAACCAAACCATGGTGATCACATCAGATATGTGGAAAAGGAAATTGAAGGAGGTGAATGAAATATGACATCAGAGGCCAATGCTTAAAACAAAGATGAGGAGCTTGAAATTAACACCCATCTACATTGGTCTTCTTCTTGTATCACATGAATGTGATCAAGATTAGGTGCTGATGAAGGCAGTGTGATATTGCCAAAAAATTTTAATTCTGAAAATTTTTATGCTCTGAGTATGAAAAATTACTAATGATCAAGATATGGTCTTGCTTTAGGCTTGGAGACTTTTTGAGATATATAATGAAAATTACATTTGGACTTGCCTCTCCAGGATGTGTATTAAATGAAACTTTGAGGAGAAACCTGTCAATCACAATTTGAATTTGTACCAGTAGATGTCATTAACTGCCTTTGCACACTTCAGTTATTTATAAATCAAGATTGACAGACAAGTTGTGAATGTAGGTAAAAAAAAATTTCAGTCACAGCTTAGTCAATCCATTCATAGAAAAAAGCTGCAGTGGTCTGAACAGATTGTGGATAAATTTTTGGGTGATCAAAATATGACTTTGTTCTATACTAATTTGCAGCACTAACATGCATTGGAGGCATAGTTTTATCTTGTAGAAGGTGCCAAAGTAGTCCAAATGGTAAAACAACTTTGAGATGTGAATAGGACAACTTAAGTTATGTGCAGTGCAATCCATTGTATGCATTTTATGCATAATTACAGACAATACCATGCAATCACTTTTTAACATGGTAGCCTTAAAAATGACATCTGTTCTGAGGGATGTTCTAACAGGATTACGTCCTGATTCTTTTTTCTGTTTTGGTGTTTAACACGAATCCTCAGCACAAGACAGGCTATACATTATAGGAAAAACCTGTGAAAACAGCAGAAGAACCATCGGCCCACATTATTGTTATTCTTATTATGACTTTATTTAAAGAGGATAACTCACTTAGCTAAGAACTAATCTACCTTGAGGCCCTCATTTAACTGTTTACAAAATCTGTAAATGTGAAAATGGCCATCAATGAAGCAGGATCTACTATTCCAATTAAATTGTACATTTCCATATCTCGGATTAAGTGGACAATTTAGCATGATTTTTCTATTAATTCTTTTTTTGAATTCTGTGTGATTTTAACACTAGCAGGCCTTGGGTGGCCCAATGGTTTACAGTGCAAGCCATGACAAATCACTGCCATTTTACTCTTTCCATGTGCATACAATTCTCTGGCTTGGCCAATGTGGGTATGTGAGAAAGCTTGCTAGTAGCTAGTACCAGATTTAGGCATAAGCTAAACAAGCTATAGCTTAGGGCCTCAAAGTCTGAATTCAGTCTGAAGGGGCCCCATTCAAATTTATTTTATACCAAATATGACCTCTATAGCTTAGAGCCTCGCCTTGACTAAATCCGGCAGTGCTAGTTGCTTCCTTAAGTCAGTTGCTCTAACCAGAGTTTATTCAGGTTCTTCCTCTTTCAATTATACTGGCTTCCCTATATAGTCTGTATTGGACCAAGAAATGTTAAACCCAAAAGATAAATATTTTAACACTGAATGTGGTATGTCAAGGAAAAAGCCAGAGTTATGGAGAGTTGGTTGCAGACACATTACACAGCAGGTGGATTCACTGATATAATTTATTTAAGCTTCTACAATTTCTTTTCAAAAATATGTATGTTATTATGGAACCATTTATTGGTAACACTTGAAACAAACACCACTTCAAGTTTTTTTTAAGGCACTGTATAGTTTTTTAGTCATCCTAGATTCTAAACAAGAATCCAGTGGCCCAATCCACAAAGTATGTCCCTTTTCATTATCTATTTGTTCCATTATGCTCAGAACACTCTTATGGCCTAGTCTTTTGAGCATCCGCCTCAGATGCAGGAGGTCGTGGGTTCAATCCCCGGCTGAGTCATATCAAAGACTTACAAAAATGGTACTAACAGCTGCCTTGCTTGGTGCTCAGCATTAAGAAATTGGTGTTAGGACAGGTCAGCCTAGTGTCAAGGTAATATGACTGGGTGGGATCATGCTACATGTCTGCAGCATGATGCTCCAGTGCTAGACATTACAATATACTGCCACACTGCAGACACCATAGCAGTATGACTGAAAAATTGTTAAAGCTACGTTAAAATAATCCAACCAATCTAATCCATTATGCTCATAATATGTAACATTAGGAAACAATATCATGATGATCCATGAGATGTTTTGCCTAAATTAATATATATATATATATATATATATATATATATATATATATATATATATATATATATATATATATATATATTCAATAAAGGCCTATCATAACATTCCTAATCCAGTCATAATAAATAAGTGGCTTTATAGATGTATAGCCAGTGAAACAATCAGAAGCTGAGGGAGGTATGTTCAGCATGTTGAAAGAGTATTCTGACGTTCACTACATCTAACATGTAAAGAAGAGATGTGTTTCTATTCATTTCAATTAAAAAGCATCATTTTGACTATTGGAAATTTTGGTAAACATTGCAGTCTGACCTGTTAGAGTATGAATACACAAAAATAGAGTACTCAGTCTTACAAAATTATACTAAGATTGGTTATCATGAGCCAAGAATTAAAATGAAAACAGTTATTTATCATAGCATTCATAATACTTGAATAAAAAAATTGGACCAATTAAATTGGATCGATAAAAAAACTGTTGTAAAAAGTGCAGATGTATGTTTGATAGGGCACTAAAAGTGATTGAATACTGTAACTCAGATTTGTAAAGTATTGAAAATATTTTATATATTGCTTTTGGAACATTTGCTGAATTTCTATACTTCTTATTGGCATTATTATCAAAGTGCCTGATGACATTCCCTAGTCCTGGCAAACTTGAACAAATAACTATACATAAAATGTCATTGGAGCAGAAAACTCCTGCCATGCCATGAAAAATGCTAAAACTCAGTGCAGAAGACATAAAAGCAAAATTATGTCAGAATGCTCAAATAAATACCATTAAAGCTTGGCATCAGTGATTTCTCAGCCTCAGCCACATCCAAAGATGAGTCTTAATATCAGTTAATATCACAGTTGTTGCAAAACTGAGAACTGCTTCTAGTATCATTTTCCCTAAAAGGTACATTGTATTGTCCTTTGCAAAACTACCCATGCTTGTAAAAAGGTCATTAAAACCCTAATGAATTTTGACTCCAACTGATTTCATTACAAAAATATTTGAAATCTAACTGAAATTTCCATAAGGATTAATTGTTAAAGAATAAATTCATAGGAGCAGAAGTTATTATAGGAGGAACTTTATTTTCCAGTCACAGCAATAGGCAATTTCTTTTATCGTAATCAAATGTTTCAAGACTGTGCAATGAAATAAATAATGTGTTTTAGCCTGCAGCTGTAGGAAATAAAATTGGTGTAGGTTTGACTTCGATTAGTAGTAACATCAGGCATTCTTAACTGTGTTATTTCCAAAGATTCCATAGCTGCACCCAATGGTCATGGAAGATCAATACCACCATACTGGCTGTTCTGTGTAGGAAATTCCTATACACTAAAGCAAGTGTCTCTCTCCCCCATTCCACTTTAGTATCCAACTTTGACAAAGTCTATTGATTTTTCATCTGCATTCTCTCTGCTAGAGAGTCAGCCTTTCACAAGGGTAGCCTTTTGTTCCCTGTTATACTCCTCCAACAAGTCTACTTCAGGCTTCAATTAACAAATTGTCGCATTTTAGTGTCACCATCACTACAAATCAGAGTGTGAATATTGGCAAATGGATGTATCACTCTGGTCTCATTATGTGATTGCTGCAGTAGATTGTGAAAATTCAGTTCTCAGCCAGCAGTCACAGTTCCTTATGTGAAGTGAACTAAAGGAAACACTTGGTTGGGATATCAGTCAATACATCTACAAACTCTTTAATGTGTATACCAGTTTTCTAAATTCAGTCTGAACTTCCTTTGGCTAAAATATATGTCTGTTCTTCAATAGGTTAAAATGGTGAAAGTGGGTCTCTTACAGTAGGAACAAATATTTTAGCATATTTAAAGGTAAGTTTTATTTAAATTTTTTTTGTTAATATAAGACATTTTATTGCAGGATTTATTTCAGTAGGTATTTCCTTTGATTACTCATTCTACATTACTTTTGATGTATTAGCATATATAATCAGATTTATATAAATGTCTATATATATATATATATATATATATATATATATATATATATATATATATATATATATATATATATATATATATATATAATTGTGTGGGAAACTCAGACTAAACTGGTGTAAATCTTCTTAAGGCATGTATTTTGTATGGGAAGAATTTTCAAGTCTTGTTTATGAAAAAATATTGCTGATAAAATATAATACATGGCATGCTCTGTTTTATATTGTTCTTGTTCAGATTATCACATAAATTGCCAGCTGCATTGATTAGTGCCATTCCAATAGTAATAGGCATTCATTATCTGAACATTAACAATGGAATTTAGCAATAGACATTCACAGTGGACATTTACAATAGGCATTCACAATGGGCATTAGCAATAAACATTAACAATGGAATTTAGCAATAGACATTCACAGTGGACATTTACAATAGGCATTCACAATGGGCATTAGCAATAAACATTCACAAAGAAATTTAGCAATAGACATTCACAGTGGACATTTACAATAGGCATTCACAATGGGCATTAGCAATAGATGTTCACAATAGGCATTCACAGTGAACATTAGCAACAGGCATTTACAGTGAACATTAGCAATAGGCATTCACAGTAAACAATTTAGCAACAGGCATTCACAGTGAACTTTATCAATAGGCTTCACAATGGGCATTAGCAATAGACATTCACAATGGAATTTAGCAATAGGCATTCACAGTGGACATTTACAATAGGCATTCACAATGAGCATTAGCAATAGATGTTCACAACAGGCATTAACAATAGGCATTCACAGTGGACATTAGCAATTGGCTTCACAATGGGCATTAGCAATAGACATTTGCAATGGAAATATGTAATTCGTTGTAGACAAATGTCAGTCTCTACAAGTCTTCAATATAAATGGTATTCTTTCTACATCTATCTCTGTATCATTATTGGCATTAAATAGCCTAATCGTGCTGCTATACTCAAACACAAAACTAGACAAACCAAATTATAACTGTCTATCTGTAAGAATATATCCATCCATGTATTTGTCTATAATAGAGAGTACATGTAAACTTAAACCATTATAGTATTTAAAGCCTAATGCAGTAATGCAGTGGGACCTACTTGCATTGTGTAATCAGTATTGAATATTGATCATATTTAAAGTGATTGTAAACTATTTTGCAGCCATTGTCTAGTTAAATGCATGCTATCAGAGTTGCCCATGCTGATATTCCACCATGAAATCAGGGCTGCCATTGCAGACGATTTTTGCAATCATATATCTTGTCTCTTGATTTTTTTAATATGCCAGCTATAAGGCTGAGTGTGATATGAAATGGCAATGTCTGTTGATTAATCCACCGCTACCAAATTATGTGTAGTTTCTGCACAATAAATCAAGTTCCCCACTGGTACCTACATTTATCAAACTCTCTGGATGGTTTACATTTAAAGTAAAAAAGAACCCTATTGATTTTGGGATAAAAGGATAAAAGGGTTAAAGGTCTGGGTCACTGACTAAAAAAAGAAAATTAGCTTCCAAAGAATAACATTAGTTCTATATCACATACCCCAACCAAAAGTTCTGCATGGCTTGCATTTGGGATAAGGATTGTCAAAGGTCAAGGTCACTGTCACAAAAAAGAAGTGATTCTGTACTGTAATGTGAGTTCTGCATTGCATGGCTCGCATTGGGGATATGGAAAAAGCATACTGATTTTGAGCTAGAAAGGTAACAGGTCAAGGTCACTCACAGAAAGAAAAACAATAGTTTGTACCCAGTGACAGCAATTTATGATCACATACATGGTAAAAACTTTGAGGATCGCTTGCACTTATTGTATAGAATAGTCTATCATTTATTTTGGAACTGTTAAACATGAAGTGGTTGTATCATTGCTGATGCCATGCAACAGTTGCTTGGAAAATAATTAGGGCCTTGAATCATTATGTTACATAGTAATTACTCTTCCAGTTATTTGTTTATCTATCGATCTGACCACGCATCATATAACTCCCAAAGCTCTGCAATTATTACATGGAATTAGATGGCATTCATTATATTCATGAATTCTGCTGACATTTTTGTTGCAGTGTTTGAGAAATCGACATGCTTTCTGCAATCAGCCTGACAAGATAACTGTTTCATGTGTGTATGAATGTAAATTGTTGATTCTGCCATTGGTTGTCCACCTGTAGTTGTTTGCTGGCATATTATGGTATCAATGTTTAGGTTTTTTGTATTCAACATTTGTAAAATGAGAGTGCTTATCAACTGTGTAGAAGAATGAAGTATGTAATGAGAGAGAGAGAGAGAGAGAGAGAGAGAGAGAGTGCTTCAGACATTATAGAACTACAGACATTATAGAACAACCCAAGTAACCAACACAAAATTTGCATCAAGCAACCTTTAATGACTTGGATGGTTCCCCGTAAGTTTGGCATGGGTCGTGTCACTAGACGTTTTTGCTACACCACTGGTGTGTTATAATAGGAAAGGCACTTAGCTCTGTTGCTTGCTTGATTTCCATTCCTTTTTTTTATTGTCATCAATTACAATATTATACTTGTGCAACACATTGTTCTCCAAAATCATTTTCACATAGTTAATTTGATTAGTAGGAATAATTACCACTTTCCGATTGGAAATGGAGCTTTCAGGGATATTAAATGTGGCATTATAGAATTAAGCATACTTGGGAAGCAATTAGGAAATATCCACACGTTTTTGTTCTCTAGACTATAGGAG